GACCCTGTGGTATCACGAACAGGAGGGGCTACGAGAGGTTTTTCGGGGCAACCTGACTCGCTAAGGAGAGGGGGCTGGGACTGACCCTCAGAGCGGGCCGAGGGGAGAGCGGGACCCTGGGCTCCCCGACTGCCACCCAAACTGGCCGGGCTGCGGTCGCCGGNGGTCGCCGGGAGCGGGATACGAGGGCGGGGGAGCCAACTCTGCTCCAAGCCCCCAGGCCGCAGGCGCGGCAGCCTGGGGCCCTCGAGAAAAGAGGGATGCGGGGCTTCTGGTTTCCTGTTACTTACGTCTGCAAACACGTATCTTAAAAAGTAAATAAATAAAACTGCAACCGGAATCCAGGCTTTCAGGGGAACTGTAACATAAACACCATCTTTATTGAAGGAGAAAACCCGCACCGGCACGCGTAGTCGCCATCTTTGTTGAGGGCAGAGACAGGAAGTGCTGTAGCCATCTTTATTGGGGGCTCAAGTGTCGGGCTGAAGTCTTTTCCGCCATGTTTGCTGCGGGTAAACAATATAGCCGCTTGGAGGGGTTATCTAAGGAAAAAAGTAACTGGATAATTGCATGTCTAACACGGTAACTCGGCCTTGTACACAGTCGAAATAATAGGTCTCAAAAAGTCATTTTATCAGCGAGGCCTTCCATGACCACTCTGTTTAAAATTGCACCAGCCATCTCCTGTACTCCCACCCCCTTTTCCAACTTTTATCTGTAGCACTATTGACATCTTACTGAAACTTCTACTTAATCTTATATTTATCATCTGTTTCCCTCCAGATAAAATGCAAGGCCGTTTCTTTATATCACAAGGTTCCTGCCCACAAAGCATTTACAAGTCGATCAGTCAGGATTCAGCTGCAGTAATCAGCGAGCTCCTCCAGACGAAAGGGGACCGACCCCCGCGAGCTGGGGACAGTCGCGACCATTGAAAGGCTGGAGAAGGACCAGCAGCCAAGCATAACCCCCTAAACACTGACAACTGGCTCAGGGCCACAATCAGGAAGACAGAGTCAAGAAACTGCGGCCCCCCAGCCCAGTCGCCTCAGCACTGACGGTGAGGACGGGACAGTGGAACCGCCGCTGCGGGAAAACCGCGGCTCGGCTGCGGGAAAACCGAGGCTCCACCGCGGCACGTCCCAGAGCGTCAACACGGAGCCTGCAAATGCTACTTTGATGTACGCACTCGGCGAAGCAATTCGCATGCAGAACATATTCGCACGCAGAACATTAGCAAGCAAGGGCGTCTGGGACACGTAGTTTGCGGGTTTCCAGCGACTGAAGCGCAGAAAGGAATGCTGAAAAGAGAGAGGGGCTGATGCTGGGGGGCAGGTCTGCTGAGTTCACCACATTTTTCATTTGGAAGCCAAGACAAATGCATGATCCAAATATAAAGAAATACGAGAATGTCACATTGAGGGTCCTTCCTCAAATTCCTTCATGAAATGAGGCAGTCAGTCAATAAATACTTTTTTGTTGTTGTTAATCGTAACCAGAGGATATTTTTCCCCCCACTGCTTTCCAGAGAGAGTGGGAAGGAGGCAGGGAGGGAGGGGGAAAGAGAGAGAGAGAAACATCAGTGTCAACTGGCTGCCTCCCCTGTGCACCCCTACCCGGGATGGGGAACCCACAACCCAGGTATATGCCCTTGACTGGGACAGAAGAAAAGAGAATGAGAGACAGCATGAGAAGAATTAGTGCAGGAGCTAAGGGGCGTGGAGTCCTTCCGGTGAACAACCCGAGAGGTTAGCATTAAAGATCTNATCAAACCAGTGACCCTTTGGTGGGAGGGCTAACACTCTAAGCACTGAACCAAACCGGCCAGGGCTCAATAAATACATTGATTGATTCACTTTTAAATCAATTGATGTTATGTACAGAAAGTCATACATACTGCTAAAAATTAATTAACAGTAACCAAAAGAAAAACCTTAAGCAGCGTTATTTTCATAGAGGTTTTCACAACCAACACCTTTAGTAGAAGACGAAAATATCTTTGTAAGAACTTAATGGAAAGCAATTCTAAATCTCATTCCACAAAACCTTCTAGTATTTGTATCCAGTTTAAAGTGTTGGTATACCAAGCTACCATTTTACTATACCAGTAATGACAATATTTTTACATGGGTGGCAGGTATTAATTTTCTAACTAGCATTTTACATATGTGAAGAGTGTGGAATCAAAGTGGTGAAATGCCTTAGCCAAAATCTTGCAGTTAATATATAGCAAAACCTGAATTCTAGCCAGTTCTCTCTGGTTTCGTGCCCTTTTCAGTACACAGTACACCACACAGCCCTTCGTGGTGAAGAGTCTGTTGTTCTGATGACAGCCCAAAATATTGGCAAATCATTCTAGTGCCACCTACACTCTTGATACTCTTAAGTTCCAGGTACTCCCTTTACTCTCTTCCTCTTCTTTGGTTCTGGAATTGCTGTCCTTTCCTGAGCAAGGCTTCCTTTCTGTGTGTGGACAGGCATTAGTAACATTCTCTGTCTTCATCCAGATGAAGTGCAGACATCATGTGATACTGCCAATAGCTGAGGTTACCGACTTTTGGGAAGGAAAAACGTGTATTTTTCCCACCTACAAAGTAAACTTTGATAATTTTCAAACACATAGTAAAGTTTAAAGCAAATAGCACAAAAAAGAACACCCGTATAAAAACTGCCTAGTTAAGCCCTGCTGGTGTGGCTCACCATCCTGTGCACCAAGAGGTTGCTGGTTGATTCCCTGTCAGGGCACATGCCTGGGTCTGGGGCTCGAGCCCCAGTATGGGGCATGCGGGGGACAGCCAACCAATGTTTCTCTCTCCCCCTCTCCCTCCCTCTCTAAGAAAATCANAGCTAAGGGGCGTGGAGTCCTTCCAGTGAACAACCCGAGAGGTTAGCATTAAAGATCTGGATTAAATTCATAAGGTGAAGCCCTTGACCATCAAAATCCTCTTCCTATAGCCAATTTAGATGAGCATCCATGCTGCCTCCAGGCTCTTTCTGTGATTGATTAGCCAGGCTGCTATCCATCAGCCTGGGAGAGGGCCACCACCCCCTCTAGTACACAGTGATACTTCTGAGCAGCACACAAAAGGTTCAGCTTCACTTATATAAATATCTAAGGCCAACAGGCCCAAAAGGGATCCACTGTAGATCAGAATCACTACTACAGGTGGTTACTCCTCCACTCTGTCCAGTCCCTCTCTGTAGGCTGAACTGTGCCCCCAACAGAGGATCAAGCACCTGTTACCCAGTGGTAACCAATCCATTTTCAGGAAGGACAGATATTGTCCTTTTTACCCCTCTCCTACCATGTTGACTGTATCAAGATATGCCCATTGTGAGTTTGCAGAAGAAAGAGTCTAAAAGCTAGAAGAACAAGTATAGTATTTTTCTGTTTTTCAGTTTGGTCTTTGGCTTTGCAACCTTCAAAACAAAAACCAAAGGAGTTGGATATTTTTGGTTTTTCTGGCTTCACAGATGTGGAAATTAAGCCATGGAGAAAAACAGATTCATTTCAAGCATTCTTGAAACAGTTACAGAAATAGGTCACGAATTAAGTCACAAAGAAACTTCAATAAACTCCAAAATAATCCACAGCATACAATCTATGTACTCTAAAATTTTACAACGAAATTGGAAATTTTAACAAAAAGAAAGCTTCAATAAATCCCTTAAGTTTGGAGACTAAGTCAACTCTTGAGGGGAAAAAAAAAAAAAATCATACATATTTCTATTGGTACCACCATACAGAAAACAGTATGGAGATTCCTCAAAAAAAGTAAAAATAGAATTATCATATGATCCAGCAATCCCACTTCAGGGTGTAGATGCAAAAAAAAATAAAATCAGTATCTCAAAGAGATATCTGCACCCCCATATTCATTGCAGCATTATACACAACAGCTGCAACCTAAGTATCCATCAATGGACAAATGGATAGATTTTATATATATTTCAGCCTTAAAAAAAAAAAAAAGGAAATCACACCTATTAGAATGGCCAAAATCCAGAACTCTGACAACACCAAATGCTGACGAGGGTGAGAAGCAGCAGGAACTCTCATTCATTGCTGGCGGGAATGCAGAATGGTCCAGCCACTTTGAAAGACAGTTTGGCAGTTTCTTACAAAACTAAATATACACTTATCTTATGACCCAGCAATCATGCTCTTTGGTATTTACTCAAAGGAGTTGAAAAGTTACTCCCAAACAAAAGCCTAACATGATGTTTATAGCAGCTTTATTCATAATTGCCAAATCTTGGAAGCTACCAAGATGTCCTTCAGGAGATAAATATATGAATATGCTGTGGGACATCCAGACAATGGAAGATTATTCACCCCTAAAAATAAATGAGCTATCAAGCATGAAAAGGCATAGATAAACCTTAAATGAATATTACTAAGGGAAAGAAGTCAATATGAAAAGGCTATATACTGTATGATCCCAACTATATGACATTCTGGAAAAAATAAAACTATGGAGAAAGTAAAATGATCAGTCATTGCCTAGGGATTGGCGGGGGTGGGATGAATAGATGGAGGGGGTACAGAGGATTTTTTAGGAGACTGAAAATACTTTGTACCAGCAGATATTTATCATTATACATTCCTCCAAATCCACAGAACACACAACACTAAGAGTGAACCCTAAGGATAATTATGGACTTTAGGTGATTACGATGTGTTAACGTAGATTCATTATTGTCACAAATATACCACTCTGGTGAGGGATTTTGATAATGGGGGAAGCTATGAATGTGTGGGGAAAAGGGTATATGGGAAATTTCTATACCGTCCCCTCAATTTTGCTATGAACCTTAAACTGCTCTTTAAAAAAAAAAAGTCTTAACTAAAAAAACAACACAAAAAGAAAATCCTCTCATACACTGCAACATGGATGAACATGGAAGACATTATGCCAAGTGAAATAAGCCAGAAAGACAAATACTGCATGATGTCACTTATATGTGAAACCTAAACAAGTCAAATTCATAGAAGCAGAGACTATAACAGTGGTTGCCAGGGCCTGGGGGGTGGGGTGAATGGGGAAATGCTGGCCAAAGGGTACACAGTTTAAGTTATAGGGTATGAATCAGTTCTGGAGACCTAAGTTCAGCAGGGTGGCCATCCTTAATAATGCTACATTGTATATTTGAAATTTGCTGAGAGTAAATCTTAAATGTTCTAGTCACAAAAAAAGATAACTGTGAAGCGATGGATATATTAATAAGCTCAATTGTAGTAATCATTTCACAAATATATACATACATCAAAGCATCACACTGTACACCATAAATATATATAATTTTTATTTGTCAA